GTGTGAATGAGGAAGGTGGTGAAGGGTTGGTGGCTAGCATTTTTCTTCAATGGTGTACTTTGCATTTTCTTCTTTGGTGTGCTTGAATTTGTTGTGCATGGAACTTTCAACCAACCGATGGAAGACGAAGACGATGCAACCGGTTGGTGGGATTGGTGGTGCCCACGATAAGTGGATACTGCATGATTATGTAATGATCATATTACCTCTACTGCGCAGTCAAATGTATACGTTTACCAATATATGTAAATTTATTTACAACACTGCCATTACTTGTATGACCATTATTTACTAAAGTTTAACTTAATCATGACCATTGATATGGTGGATCCATGGTATAAATTTATTCTTATTTGTACATATATACGGATACAACTTATTTATCTAATGATTAATGAACTTTAAAATTCCACGACTTACCAATGCACACCCTGAATAGTGACTTGCACTAGAGGTGGAGATGAAGGAATAAAATCAAATATATATAACTTGTATACACAGTCACACACTCAAAAGTCAAAAACAATAGGAACATCAAACAATACCATTACAAGGACAACCGTAACATTAAGACACTATTCATTACAAGCACCACAACCTTAAAGCACTACAACAAGAAAAACACAAACAAACATTCATTCATATGTCCTTAAAGTACAAAAGCTCAAAAGCCCCAAACAGCACAAATATTCTCACAACATAAAGCTCACATTTCACAAACAAATTCGGCAAAGTTAACAAACAAGACCTCGTTGATGGATTCGGAATCGGCGTAAACGAGTTCGTGGCGAGCCTTTCGTTGAGGGTCCCATCTTTGACCCCTTTCACCAATATTCCTTTCACTTGAATCAAAAAGGCCAAAAATATTCTAAAGAAAAAAGAAGAGAGCAATAGAGAAAAAAAGCATAAACATGAGTGTGGGGCCCTCGTCACCAAACACGCATGCTCTCAAATCCATGGAGTTTTTTCTCCATAGTCCTCCAAGAAAGGGCCCTCATTTACAGCCAAGCACACCACTATAACAACACCATGCGTTTCAAACCTTTGCATACTTCAACTTTTGAAATGACCATTTCAAGTCAACAATTATAATGCCCAGCTTCTATTGTTTATTTTTTTTCCTTCCCTACCTTGAGAGAGCAATGAGTGACAGAGAGTAGAAAGAGGATTTTTATTAGAACTTCATCAAACACGTTTTTTCGTGGGCCCCACGGTGCACTAATAGTGAAAAAGCAAAACAAATTTTTTGAGTTAAGAGCCACAAAAAGGAAACAATTCGAAGAAACCCATCTCACCAATTTCAAAATCGAAGAACCGGGTCAAGCGAGACCGAGAGCTGCTGCTTCGATTTTCATCGACTCCAAATAAACAATGGCTTTCTCGATTATGGTGACCGGGTCTTTCAGACTACCCGATTCAGGAACGAGACTACAGAGAATTTTCAACATCTCGCGTGTCTTAACCTTCTTCTCCCTCTTGCTCAAATTAATATAATCCTCGTAATTGGACGACGACGACGACGATGATGATGATGATGATTTCTTGTGCCCGCCATAAAGCAACTGTTGCCTTTTTGACGAGCCATCACAGCTAGCGACTTCTTCTATGAGCTCATCAAATAATTTTTCTTTATGATAATAGCCCTCTTCGATTTTAAATGAGATGCGTCTCGTGCTAGTTACTTCATTGTTATCTTCTTCATCATCATCATCATCATCATCATCATCATCATCATCATCATCATCATTATAATCACTATCAGAGTATAGAAGGGCATCAATTTCTTCACTATCATTGACCATCTCATCTTCTCCTCCATCGTTCAAATAATTCTCATCCCATTTTTCTTCGATTAAAGTGTTCAACAGCTTGTCAGCTCGAGCTGCCACTTTTTCATCATCTTCAGGGGCAATAACGGGATTTTGCGGAGAACAAAAGGAAGGGCTAAAGAAATATGTAGTGTGATTCCCACATCGATCGAAAATGAGGAACCCTTTTTCTTGAGGCACACGAGGATGATCAATTTGCTTGAGCCCCGGAAGGGCATTTTGGGAACTTTTGGGACCAAGTTTTTCGGCTGGGTAGGGAATATTCCAGTGTGGATGTGGGAGTGTGAAAAAATCGTCGGCTTGAAAATGGGAATTTATCTGTCGTTGAAAAGCACCATCTGCAGTCAGTGAAGACAGATTAGAATATGGCAAACCATAGTTTTGCCCGAGTTTTACATGTGCCATTTTATCGAAACCGGGCAATTTAGGGGCAGATAACTGCCGAGACGTTTGAGAGTCCTTGACTGTAAACATCCAGCCAAGAGAGAAACCTGAGAAGCATGATTCAGAAAGTTGTTAAAAAAAAAAATATTAAGCGGGTGAAGATAAGCTTTGTATAAGTACAGTACAGGCCAAGATACTTAGCAAGAAATAGACATACCAGGTTATAACGGGTCGTATTAATCCACTCAGAGCTTTTAACTTTTATGGATATCCGGGATATAGAAAGGAAAATAAAATATGTTGCTAACTTGAAGCGAGAGACGAAAATTCGGAACAAAACTACGTTACGGGTTTCAGCAAGTGTCGGAAATATTCAGCCTGAAATATATTTGAAGAAAAAAGAAATAAAAGCAAAACAGCAGCCATTACCGATTATCATCAAGAACAGAAATCGACATTTTGCGAAACAATTAGTTGATAATGCTGAAAACATAATGAACGAACCTGGCAATTCTGTAAAGGTTGAAAGCATGCTATAACTCTAACAATAATTGTTGTTCTTCCAGCAATTCCATTCTCATGTTTAAGTGCCCTAAACTTCGTCTGGCTCGCTGCTTGGCACACCATAACTACTCTCGACTCTAGCGGATTTTAGGAATGACAATAAGAGTGTTTGGTTCAGAAACACAAGCTTAATCAACAAAAAACTAGCCAAATTTCTGGTATAAAAAAACTAACTAGACAAGAAGGGAGAAGAAGCTAAACAAGATCACGAAAGCGGCGAACTATATTGGGATTATCGATTCAGCAATCTATTGGCTAAAATTACAGAATATAAAAGAAAGAGAGAAAAGAAGGGAAGTGAGTGGATCCCATGGATTTCTAATAAAAAAGATTTGCATAAACAAAGGGTGAATTTCAATGGGAGGATGGCAAATTTATAGAATAACTCTACAGTATAAATTCAAGGGGATAACACAACGGAACACATCGATCGACGAGGCCAGCCACCACATATTGGTCAATTGTACATTCCAGTTTATGTTCAACTCTTACCTGAAATAACAACAGAAGTGGTAACAAGAGGAATTATCCTAAGAACAATCTTTTAAGAACAATCGAAGTAAAAATGTCGGAATCAAGAACAATATCCAAAGAAACTCACTAAACCACAAACCACAAACCATAAAGAACAATCTAATTATCTTAATTACTTCCACAAACCACAAAGAACAATACCCAAAAAAACTCGTTAAAAAAAAAAAAAAAAAAACCCTTTTTATTCAATTTTTTCTTATTTTTTTCCTCAAAAATTGAATTATCAGAGGTGAACCCAACAAGAGTAAGAAACCCATCAGGAAAATCAAATCCCACAACGAGAATATACAGAGCCGTACGCATCTCTGTGTATGTATCACGCATATATGTTCAGACAAGAAGTAAAGCAGATAAGCCCATGATCAAATGCGAATGTCTGAGGAAGAAACTTACCAGATCGAGGTGCAAGAATGTCGAAAGTTTGAATCTTTACATCGAGCGGTAGGTAGCTTTTATGTGGTGCAGAGAGGTTATGAGAAGAAAGAGAGAGGCCAACAGTTGATCAGCTGAAAGCACTAAAGGCAGGCATCAAACAATGGTGTGTGCTCTAATTATATAGAGCATGCTTGTTTATAAATCCAATCCAAAAAAATCTAATCATTTTTAAAAACTACTTTTTTTTAACTCAACTTTAACTCAACCCACTATCATCAATATAATTAAATTGAGTCCAATCATTTTTAACTCAACCACTTTTTTTTAACTCAACTTTAACTCAACCCACTATCATCAATATAATTAAATAATACTCCCTCCTATTCAAAATAAATGTCGTTTTAAGAAGTTGCACAATAATTAAGAATATTTTTGTTGTCAATAATAACCCTATTTAATGAAGATAGAGATGAATGTTTTGAGAAAAAATGAAGAGAGAATATGGAAAAACGTAGTGTATTTATTGCTAAAAGGAGGGTAATAATGAAAAAAACATGTACAAAAGATCTAAAACGACATTTATTTAGTTAATAGTTGATAAGTCAAAATGACATTTAAAAAGAATAGGAGGTAGTATCAATCAATCAACCCACTATCATCAATATCATCAATATAATTAAATAGTATCAATTAATCATTCTTACACACAACATCAACCTTAATTTACTATTTATCTACTCACATAATTTTAACTAACCATCACATCACATCTTATCTCTCCTAATTTTACATTAATTTAATTTTAATTATTTTATTTTAAAAATTATTTTAATATACTCACTAATAATTAACCAAACCAACTTTTTTAAATTTAACCAACCCAAATCCAAAACCCAATCAAAACCAAAAGCAATTTGGGTGACATTTATATTCTTTTCTTTCTTGCTTGCTTTCTTATTTTCTTTTGCTGTTTTTATTTTTGTTTTTGCCTTTTTTTCTATTTAACATACAAGGGTATAAACGAGTCGAGCAAGATCTCGAGCTCGAGCTCGAGTCTTAAACTTAACGAGCTTATAATCGAGCGAAAGTCTTTACCTTAACGAGCGCAATTTTGGCTTATAATCGAGCTCGAGTCTTTAACTTAACGGACTTATAATCGAGCTCGAGCTCGGATCGTTTATTAATACTAACGAGTCGACTATGAGCTTTAACGAGCCAAAATTTTCATAAAATATACATAAAAATTATCTTTTAGAGACTTAACAAGTCTTATCAGATCGAGTTTAACTGAGCAAGATTAAATGAGCTTAAGCTCGTGTCGTTTATCAAACAAGTCGAGTCGAGCTCGAGCCTTAACGAACCAAACAAGCTCACGAGCAACTTGTTTAATTTAACCGCTCGATTAACATAGTACTCATACTATAAAACCATTTTTGTTTTCATGTATTTGTACTTGTATAGAACATATTACCAAAAAATTAGGGAAAGCTTTTTTCTTGTACATTATATATATATATGTAGCACATTAACAATAAAAGTGTTGTATTATCACGTTTTGTCCACAAAGTTTATTATATTTGAACATTTCTTTTTATATTATTAATTCGCAAAGTATATTTGGCTATTTGATAAACTCGATTTTTTTTTTGTTTGAAATGCTTTAGCTCATATAATGAATTTTATAAACGGAAAATAAATAATTTAGTTATTTTTTGTTTATTTCCTAAGAAGAATATCATAATATTTATTATTATATAAATATATAAATATGAAAAATTAAATTATAGATACTAATTATGAAGCTCGATATTGTTACCCTACACGTTCGTGTTCATTCGTTGCCATTCAATTAACAAAAATACTAATTTTATGTTTTAAACTCGACTATCAAACAAGCGAACTTTTTTCTTCGAACTACTCAATTAACATATCAAGTCGAATCATCAAGTTTGTCTCGCATGCGGTAGTTTCTTAACTTGTTTATTATATTTGGCACAATTTTTCATTTGATGAGTTTATAAAGTTTGATTTAATCTTGATAAATTTAAATACAAAAAACGAAGAAAGATAATATTGGTAAAGACGAGTAGACAACACATGCTCAGCGCAACCCGAACTTGTGATAAATTTGGTCAATAATCAAATAAATCATAATTAAAAGAATAATATAATGTTTTAAAATTTTGAAAACAAATATGAACGTTTAGAAAGTTTCCTCGGTGTCCATAAGAGAACCATCTGATGGTTCTATATCATTTTTGAGTGTCGATATTACATTAAGATGTGATTCTAAGTTATTAGTAGTAAACGTGTACAACACCCGTGTCCTAATGAAAAGAAAACATAAAAATATATATTTAAAAAAATATATTTTTTTTATATGGAGTGTTAATATTTAATCGGAGATTATCAAACTATGATTAATTTA